CCCCAAAACCCCAAAACCCCAAAACCCCTATGACTTATAGGTAATTATGTAGGATAAATTAGGAAATTAAAATTATGTGTTTAATTAATTGAGTCAATCTTTGTAAAGGAATTTATTTCCAGATAATCTTCTCCTATAAGTTACATTCTCCATTTTAGATTTATGTGTCTTAATTCTATTTAGAACTGCTCTGGTGTTAGTATTAATTTATGATAAACTCTTCTTCGCATATTGTAATTTATTATCTCTGATTAACAATCTGACCGGACATCCCTAGAAACCAAATTCATTTGCAATTGAACTTCTTAAAAATCTTTCAAAGTTCTCAGTCATTAGATTTCTATTGTTTGTATAGACAAAGAAAGTTGGTGGTCTGGTTTTAATTTGCATTAGAAATCTAGGTTTTAAGGATTTCCCTTCCTCACTAGGCATCTTTTAAACTCTCTAAAATGCATGAACCCACTTATTTAGAAGTCCAGTCGAAACTCTTGTGTTCCACTTTTCATAAACTCTCATTACCTCATCAAGTATTTTTTCAACTCTGAATCCATTTTTCGCACTAACATAAGCGATTGGTATTCCTTTAGCTTAACCAATATTTTTCTCTAATTATTTATCCATCCATTTCACAGCTTTCTTTTTGTACTTATCTTCAACTAAGTCCCATTTATTTGCAGCGATAACTACTGCTCTTCCTTCTTCTAATACCTTTTTCAAAACCATCTAAAATAACTCATTATAAATTGTTTGAATTTTACCATATCTCCAGTTGTGAAACCTTCCATAGAATCAATTAGGACTATTACTACATGGGAGAAATCTATAGTTTACTATACTTGATCATTAATCATTTCCTCAAGTTAACTCTTCACTCCAGATCCCGGCTTGACTCCAGCTGTGTCTACTAAATTTATTCTTCTGCCTCCATAAATCCATTAGATCATGACAGAATCTCTGGTAGTTCCAGCTAGATCATTAGCAATAACTCTATTTTCCTTAAGTAAACTGTTGACTAAAGTACTTTTTCCGACATTAGGTCTCCCTACAATTGATAATTAAATTGGCTTCTTCTTCATTAGATTATCACTAGAAATTTAAAATGACCTCGAAGATGTGTATTTTCCTGCTGGAGTCAAAGTATCAAGTGGATTAATATCATTATCAGAATCAAAGTCTGAGTTATCTTCAGGATGAGGATTTAATCTATCAAATTCTTTATTCCAATGATTCATGAATGCATTTAAGTCCGTAGCAATCAAACTCTCTTTATCATCATTGAAGTCTTCATCCTCTGGTTTTTTTTCAAGTTCTTTTTATTTAACGTCGATAAATTCATCCATCAAAAGCTATTTATATTCACCATATCTCTCAATACGCTTTTACTACTTTTCTTTGAACTGAAATACATGAGTCTGGGGTATTCTTTTCTTAATTTAAGCATAGAGATCAGGCAAACCATCACCGTGCTCAGCTGAAATAAATATTGGCTCTATATCCTCCCCAAATCTATTGATCTCACCAATCCCTGGAAACATTTAATAGAAATCTGACAATATGTCTCCTTCATATCCATTTTCACTCTTATTTGATAGATAGATTATCTCTGGTACTTTCATATCAGTGGTGAGAAAATGGTCATCAACATCTTTAAATTACTTTCTAAACTCTTCCATTTGCTTTATCTTTTTGTACTGCTGCTTATCAAATTCGACCTTTGAAAAATTTGGATCATCTGGACTCGCAATAAACTAATCGTTTCCACGTTTGTTTAATGCTTCTTCTTATCTCATCATCTAGTCATATCTCTCTTATTCAGTCATTTATTTAATTTCAAGCGCTTGCTTTTCTCTTGGAAGCTTCAGTGAATGATATGTGAGCCATTTGTACAAAGAAACATCATTGTATGTAATGCCCTCTCTTGTATCTAGCATGAATAAAGCCAGATCAGAGTATATCAAAGCGTTTCTTGTTTATTTAAGCATGTCTTATAGCATTTACTTGTTAAGAGACCTCTTTTTCAGTAATTTTTCATCTTACATAGTGGTTGATTCATAACCTGCTGTATCAACCAATCTAATTGGTATATCAAATAACTAAGCTAAAAAGAATTAAAATTAATCGATTACTTAATCCTTCTCTTCGGTCTCTTGTTAAGCCAGGAGTTTTATCTACTAATGCAATTCTTTTACCCATAAGTCTATTGAAAAGAGTTGATTTTCCTGTATTTGGTCTTCCTATTATTGATATCGTGAATACATCATCCTTTCTATCAGAATTTATTAATTTTAAATTTGTACAAAGTCTCTGGTTGCGAGGAGAATCTATAGAAATTCATGCTGTTAAGCATGTGAGTCTGAGCGAAATTTTTCCCCTACTACAATAATCTATTTTTTGCATTAAAGCTAAAGTTTAGCATGGTTATATTAATTATTATAATTCAATTAGCAATAATTATAACATTAGAATATTGCTACAGCAGTACTTTAAAGTTAATTTAAAATTCAAATAAATAAAATCAGCTATGAAAACAGGGAGACGCAAAAATAATCAAAACTCAGCTAGACATTAATAATTGAGTACCGGATCTAGCATATAACCTCCTTCATCTAGAACTAAATTTGGTGTTGAAGTGATTCCTAATAAGAAGTAGGTTACTAAAGTGACTACAAATGAACCTAAAAGCCTACATAGAAGATAAAAAACTAGTCAAAACACAAATAGATAAAAGATTAAGGGGTAAGGTGATAAATTCAATGATACCTCCAAGATTTCTCTTAAAAATAAAAGGCATTAAGAAGACTCTTAGGCTACACTAGTGAAATTTAATGACGAGAATAAAGACATTAGCAATTTGAGAAGCAATCTTGCGCTCAACGAAATCAGCGAATAAAAGCTTAATAAAAGACAGTCCAATAGCTATCACAAAATCCTCAAGACAGATGGAAGCAGTTTGAATATTCATCTCAATAATTCAAAATCAGATGATGAAAGTTCAGTTATGGATTAGTTCTTTGAGAAGAAGTTTAAGCATTCTTAGTAGTAGTATATGAATGCCAAATCTAAACTATATGAAAAAGAATGTATTGTAGAAAATCTGTAATCAGAGTTAAGGAAATAAAAAAGAGAAAACAAACTTATATAAGAAAAGGTTCATCATTTGGAGTCTGAATTGGGTAGTTAAACCAAGAAATCGGTGAAGTACAAATAAATTGCCAAGCAGTTTAAAGCTAACTTAGATCACATTGAAAGAACTCTTTCTCAAATCAAATCTATGAGTCAAGAAGAGATATCAAAATTGAAGTCAAGCAATAAATTCTTGGAAAAGATTGTACAGTAAAGATCATTTTAATACTAGACTAACATGAGAACTATTGAAACATATCTGCTTAGGATTCAAAAGATGATGACTCCAAGCGATTAAAACTACTCATTCAATATTAAGGTCATGAGTGATTTGACTGAATTATGCTAGCAACTTCAAAAGATGTCCAAAGATGAGGAGTAGTAATTGAAGCAATCAATGATCTCGCATAATTAAATGCTTAATGATGATAAAAGTAATATTGAGATGGAATTCTTACTGAGTTAAAGTTCTCATGCCAATAATGATGAACAGATTTTAAGCTAGAAGACAAAAAGGCTATTAGATGATTATGAGAGATTGAGATTTGAGAGTGATCATATAAAAAAAGAAAATTTGAAGCTTAAAGAAAGAGTTGAATCTACCGATAAGATAAAGATGATTCATACTCTATCTACTTATGATTCAAAAGAGAGTATCTAGAAAAGAAACTAAAGTCTATCTGTAGGAGATCTCACTCAATATGACTCTGTTCAGAAATTAAATAATAAACTTGAAGAAAAAAATAAAAATTTAGAGGGATAAATTTAAAGTATGCAGCAACAAATGAGCATTTTAGCTGTTCAGACTAGAGAGATGCAAAATGAAAGATAACAGTTCAAGCATCAGATATAGAGATAGCATGAGTATATATTGTCAATAATGGGACAAAACATAAGTAATCAAACTTATGAAAGAGGAAGTATATCAAAAGAGAGTGATTAATAGCAGCGATACTCAGAAGAAGTATTTACAACTAATTAGAGTGATAGTTATTACTATCAAGGGAAAGAAAATGCAGATGATAAAAAGACCTAAAAGCTTAATGAGAGAGATAGCTTAGATAGAAATTCAGGTTTTAAAAATATCAAAACTATTAAAAACTACAATCCCTATTCCTTGTCACCAGTTTCATCTCAAAAGAGTGAAAGCCATAATACGAGATATCATGAGAAAAATTAAACTCTGTTAGAGAGAACCAAGTCTCTGGCACATGTTAGCTTTTAATAGAAAAACCTAAATGAACTTCCGTCTTAATCAACATCAAATATGGTATCCTCAAGAGATGAAAACCAGTTGAACACAGATAGATAGTCAAAGGAAGAGTATTCTAACTCTACAGAAATAAGAAAGCAAAATGTATTCAGAAGAAATCGCATTATGGATTCAGACAAAGAGAATCAAGATAGCTACAGAAACAATTAGAGCAATTTAGCTTCTTATAGAAACGAAATTCAGCCAAAAACTTTTAACTACTAAGAGGATGATAAGGCTAAAATAATTAGTAAAAAGACTCAGCATGCGAAGAGACCTCCTTCTAATACAAGTCATATACTTTCAACAACAAGTCCTTCAATGTTTAATAATGTACCATCACATAGAGAGGTGAGTGCCTAAAACATGCTCAAGAATAATACCAGAGTGAGCAGTGTTTAAAACTTAAGAAAGCCCACAAGTTTAGGTTCTACTACCACACTTATAATTAATGAGAAAGCTAAGGCATTGAAAGATGAAATTACTACTTTGGATGATGAGATTCAATAGCTTTAAAAGAATTTGAAGAGAGCTATCTCAAAGAGAGAACCAAGAGATAGTTGATTACTTTATTAAGATTGGATCTACTGTTAAAGTTATAAGCATTAATTTGTTGAGATAATTTTACTTTATACAAAGTAAATTACCTTTCATGGGGTTTTGGGGTTTTGGGGTTTTGGGGTTTTGGGG